TGAAACTGTGATGTGGTGTTACATGAAGGTCATTCATCATAAACTTTTGATTGTTTTTGAAAAAATTGCAATTCCACTAATTATCACCTTGATAACATCCAACTTTTATGTTTCCAGATGAATATGCTTGTAAGATTCAGCTTCTGAACATTTCTCTCTGAAAATAGCTGAAAACATTTAATTGTAATCTTCATGTTTTTTTATTTTATTTTATTTCATTTTATTTTCATGTTTCTGTAACCGATTTGGATCTGTCTTCTGATAACATGTTCAGTTGGTTAGTTAATAATTAGAGAACTATCATGCACAGCAAAGGCAACAAAACTGTTTATAAAAGATCTAAACAGGAGAAAATGTAAACAAATATAATTTGTGTCAAGATAACAATGAGGCACAAGGAAGAAATAAACTGTAATAATAATAATAATGTGGAAGTGCATTGAACAAAAACTTAGTTTTGGACTGCATCATTAATTATATAGTATATTGACATTTATTTATTATATATAAATATAGAATTATATAATGAAGTTTACCACTGCTTCTAATAAGAAGACAAATTAGCCTACACAGATAGAGGCAGTGGATGGATGGGGATTCATGTGACAGGCAAAGCAGTGTATAACTTAAAAAAATATATAACGGAAGTGGTTTTCAACATTTTTACAAATAAAAATTTGAAAAGATTGGTATGTTGCTTATGTATTAATATTTAGTTCCCATTAGATCTTCAAATCAGGGACAAATGGGTGGATTTGGGTAGAAATGGGGAAATATGGAAGCCTTTAATTTGGGACATATGGGTGGATTTAACATGGGGACATATCTACGATGTCTTCATGATGGGTAAGAAGGCTGAGTATTAGCTGAGATGACCTTCCTACTGTCCGTTACACAGACATGATGTGGATTCATACAAGTTCTGGACAATAAAAGTTTTGACATTTAAAGCCTTTAACTAATCAGTCCATCTGCAGTTTTACCCCTTGTCTCAGACTTAATAGTCAGAGAAGAGATAATTTAAGCACCCTGTCTGTTTTATGTACGGTAATCATATGTGATCTTTTGGACAGGGAGCCGGTCATCTCGTTAATTTGAGCGTCAGTACGCCGCCAGGCCTTCCTCCCCCATCCTCCTCAAATCAGGCCAAGGCCTGAAGAGTAATTGCCGAGCCACCATGCTTCGATGCGCTCGACCTTTACGACCTTAAAAGCCATTTCCATTTTCTGACCACGAAAAAAGAACATATCTCGTTAATTGCAAAAAGGCAAATATTCTCCGTCCTCTGCTCTCGCTTTTCCTTCCACAGTATTTGATTTCCCTTTGAAGGCAAAACACTAAAAAGCATTTCCATTTTCATTCATCAATGCTTATCAGTCATCTGAAGGCCCCTTCAGCAACAATCAACATCACAGCTCCAACCGAGAGGGACGCAACAAGGAGAAACTATCAACAAGCGAGAGAAGCAATTTGCTTTAATGTGGAGTGTTTTGTTGCTTCTAACTGCTATTTTTTAAATCCTCTGACAGGCCTACTCTGATTCTTTCTGAACGGAAGGGAAAAGTGTCAGACCCCGCTTTATGATAATGTTAAACACATTATGCAGATGAAAAAATTCATATCGACCATCACCAAGTTCACACTGGGATTTTTGGATGTTGTAGTGTTGATCTCCAATTCTGAAAGAAATTTAAGAAATTATTTGTATCTTGTAATCAGTGATCTGTGGTTGTCATGGTGAGGCTCAGTCACAGCAGTCTGTACCTAAGAATAATCTATAAATGTCAACCAGTGTGACAGAAAATTATCTGTAAACATTATGAGCGCTGCTTCAAATATTGTGCTTTTCCCACCCCTGGTGTCTCACTCCCATTTTTAGCATTCTAAGTTTCCTATGTCACATGTGTAAAGAAAGTAACATGCATACGTGTATACATGTATGCTGGAGGTGCATGTAGATGTTTTTGTCTTGATGATAATTATTCTTTAGACATTATCATCCCTTGACCCTCAATCCATCACACAAGAAAGTCCAAAGCGGATTTTAGAGAGACAAGTTACCCATACGTGATTTTGCAGTGTGTTTGGAAGCTGGAGTTTCTGGACAGAACCCAAACATGCACTGGGAAAACATGCAAACTCAAGGCAGAATGTCTCCTGGTCAGACTGCTACAGTATGTACTGATTTGCGAAACTATTAATACCCTTTGAATGTTTTCCACTTTATATACCATTGTCACAGAATTTAAAGTATTTCATTAAGATTTTACGTGAGAGACCAAAACTAGTGTGTAAACGCGAAGAAAAGTTGATGGTAGTGATGGGTAAATGAGGCATCATGAAGCTTTTTGACCCATAGCAAAATTGTATCGATACTGTATCAATACTGTGCCACTGAATACTGACACCTGCTGGACATTAGAAATCCCTACAGGCAACGTAGCTGACAGACTTACTTGATGGCCTAGTCCAGTGGTCCCCCAACCACCGGGCCACGCAAGAAATAATTAAATATTTCCGTTTTATATATTATTTGAGTCTAGAGGATCTTTTGTTTTGAAAGTCCTTTCATCAGGTTCTCTCGGTTACCTCTTGAGAGCCAACATTGATCCACAAGTAGCAAAATGAGTAAGAAACAGATCAGATGTCTTTGGAAAATTTCTTTGTGAAGGGAAAAGGCCCAGAGAGGAGACAGAAGAATGAATTTATCCCGGTAAGTTGTTCCCACATTCCAAGCTGCTCTGCATGATATGGTGACCAACTTGTTAATGAGGGAATGAAGCTTCAAAGTGCTTCTCCACGTAGAGACCAACCACCCTGTGCATTAGCAACACTTCGGGTGTCATTGTCTCTCATCACTCTCAGATGTGACCGTCTCGTTGCAGAGAAACGAACTCAGGCATCCCATTATTATCATGGTGAGTTAAAATGTTCACAAAAACAGATCATAAAAAGATCAGAGCAGCAGAATCAAAGCCATGCAGTTAAAAAGAACCTGAAGGCTGGTTCAGCGCTAGTTCTGATCTGGCTCTGTTCTGTTCTGCACTGGTTGTGGTTCTGTTCAGGGCATAGCTGTGGAACCTCTGGAGTTGATGAAGCAAAGACACATATCAAGAACATGATAGACAGCACACTGCATCATCTTCTTGAGACTGTCATACAACAACATGTAGTCTTCAGTCAGAGGTTTCTTCAATACCACTGTCAAACAGACTGCTACAGGAGAGCTTACTGCCCAGAGCCTTGGATAATGTGAGTTACAACATTTTATTTCATTTTGGGATCAAAAAAGTCTATTTGAAATTGATTAAATAAGGTCCCCAATTACTGATTAAATGGTCTGAAAAAAAAATCCAAACAATGCTTTATTAATTAATAAAACATTGTTCATATATTTATATGTACAATGCTTTATTAATTAATAAAACATTGTTCATATATTTATATGTACAATGCTTTATTAATTAATAAAACATTGTTCATATATTTTTATGTAAGTTGGTTGTAAAGCAGCAAAATCGATCATATTTGTTATCAAAATTGTATTTGTAATTCATTGGGCATAATGGAATGAGATTAATGCCCTTGTAATGGCGATGGGAGAAACTAAAACAAAAATAGCCAAATCAAAATTATTCAGGAAGATAAAACATAGCTTATATAAGTCACAGCAAAAATATTAGCAATTTATTTTCTTTTTCTGCACCAATTTTAGACATGAATGCATCGATCATTTCCCAACAAAAATTAACAAGATGTTTTCAATATGTTTAGCTCACCTACCCACTATAAAGTTAGTGACACAATGATTTTCAGTAAAGAAGAGAGAGTCAGGCAAGGAGTTAGCATTCAGTGTCACATTTCTGAAACTCATTTGGCTCTTCCTCCTCCTCATCCTCTTCATCATTCAGATGCTGCTCTTACCTAATCAGACTTACCTGTTTCTGATTCTGACCACCTTGTCCTGAAGTAAACATCAATTATTGTTCAGTAATATTTCCTGAAGTGTGTTTATGATACATCTCCTTCAGTTTTTGGTTATTGTTCTTGTCCTTAGCAGTTTAAATGTGTCTCCTGTTAGTGCAGCTGAAGGGCAGGAGTGTAGAAAACCCAGGTGATTATGGGAAAATAGAAATGTCTTTGGGAGACTTTAAAAAAATGGACCGATGATTGGGGGCTTGGCACATAACTACTTGTTTGAGAAATAATCAAACCTCCAAGCCTGACTTTATTATCAAGTGACTAAAACATCAAAAATCTGCATGACATCCATGAGACATTGTCAGAGTATTCAAAGCTGCCATATCTCAGTATCAGCAGATATGGCAGCTTTACAAGTCTGGGTCTGAGTCAGCACTACACACAAGTTGTGTTGTCATCAGACTCACCAGGAGCCGTTGGACAACAGCAGTTTGTAGAACATGACACAATCAAGGCAACAGTAGAATCTACTTTCTTTCAAAACATTTTCTTCAAGTTTTAGAGAGAAACCAATTCATAAACATTTACCTTGTTAATAAAGCTGATGAGTTATTCAGTTGGCTGAGTGCAGTTTCATGCTTAACACGATTTTAGCTGAGTATGAAATATGTATGGAAAACTTGAAAAGCATACAGAGTTCTAAATGATTCATTACCATTCAAAATAAAAGCAAACATTTTTTCAAGTAATTAATCTCTGATAATGACAAATTCAAGGTCCTAAACGTTTTGACAATCTCAGCCATACTACATAACATATCATATTTTAGCTAATTCTAAAGCCACAGTAAAAATGTTCCACTCTGATCTTGGTTCAAGGAACCTTGGTAAGAAGGTCTCACCTCCAGTAAGTATGGATGTTTTTACAGCCTCTTTTTATCTCATTCCATTTTTAATGGAACTAATACTGACATTATGACCTTTATGTACTCCATGTTAATTTTCAAATTGAAACACAATTTGAAAATTGGTTAACAATAATAAACCCCCCCCCAAATGAATCACATCTCATGATTTTATTTCCGGTAAAGTTTATTTTTCAGCGGTAAGTTTTACAATATAGTCAGCAGAAACCATGCAGTCAAGCTCCTATTGTAATAAAGAAAGCCCATATCACAAATGAAATACCCAGTAAAACACACAACTAGAGATCCTCCTGTGCTTTGTACACTGAATTTTGAACAAACCTCTTGTGTTTATTTTATTCTCTGTTGATTGTTGTTTATTCACTAACAGGAGACTGGCGTTCAGAAATAATAAAAGGTGTGAGAATAAACAGCAGAGCAAGGCACAGAAGTATATTAGAACCCTCCACACCCTTTCATCCTTCCATGCCTCTCAAAACCAGTCTCACTTCAATCACTGCTCATCATACTAGGAGCTGCTTAAGAACTAAAACACAAATAATAAATGTTACAGAATCTAAGAAGTATTAACACAACACACATCAATGAACCTTTACTCATACACAACGCTGTTTTAGCTCTCGCTAACTTTGGTTGTGTTGCATAGATAAAACACTATTTAAAAGACAATTGTTTCACCCTGTAGTTTGGTGAAGCTACTATAAGCAAGAAGTGAAAATATTTGGTTCCACATGCTTTAAGGTAAAAATAAATGACTTTCACATCCCAGGAGAATATAAATACAAAAAATCATAATTCCTCTGTCAGCTGCTGAAATAATAAAAAAGCAAAAACAAAAAAAACAAGCGAACTGGTAAAATCCATACAGTCTCTGTCCTGATAGAACAAATATTTCCTCGTCAGTAACATACAATTAGTGTTGAATCTAAAGTAAAACAGATTAAATCACGTAAAGATTTGCCAGAGCTGAAAAGGTGAACATGGGGAGAGAGAAGAGTGCTGACAGTCTCTGTTCAGTCAGATGGTTTCCCTCCATCAGAAACAGAACTTTATTTCAACTCTTTCATTTTTCTGAAAGTGACGTCCATAGAGGACATGTCTACTGAGTCAAACATCTCAAACACAGATGAGGAGGCGATTTCTGTGACTCTAGGTCATGAGTTTTACGAAGTGAATCCTGAAATCCTTCACAAATCAAGACAAAGACCTACAGGTATGAAGCAAGCAGCACATTGGGTTTACAGTGCGTAGTTTAAGGAGTGTATACAGGAAATAGATCAGTGTTCACAACGACAGCATCAAGAATGGCATACAGAACAATGTCTTACTGAGTTCATCAGATTCATGGTAAAATACAGAGAAGGAAGGAAGGAGGGAAGAAAGAAAAAAGAAGAAATTGCTAACTTTTAATATAAGTTCAACTTCACTATTTGACTTCATTGTCCTGTCAGACCCTGCTCTCATCTACACAGTGGGCCTCTTGTATTGGCAACGTTAGTGACCACAGCCACCTGTGGATAGATAAAATCCACTAAAACATGACACTTCTCCTGAAGTTGTTAGAAATCCCTGTTTTAATAGTTCTACTTCCAAACATACCTTAATATCCATTAATGCTCTCAGTGCAGACAGTGTTAGCACTGTAGCAGAAGAACATCTGTCTTCCTTATTTCCTCTCTTGAAGGTCCAATCAGTGCCAAACAAAATACAGAGCAGAAGGTGTTTTAAATTCTTAAACTGCTTTTTCTTTAGAATATTTTAGAAATGTGCTAAAAAATAATCAGTGAAGAGGCAGACTTTTCTTGAATATTTAGGATTTATTTTCCACATAAAGATCCATGAACTGGAGGGCATCCACTGCACTCTGCCGTTTCCTTTCCTGCTACACATTTTAGAGAAAGATTGAGCTGTTCTGGGGTCTGGGCTTCACTGCAGCTTCCAGGTTACATTTTATTGTCCCCTAAAAACATTACAGTGGTTTGATAAAGTATGTACACCCCTTCAGGTTTATTTTGTCAGGCTACAATCCAGAAGTTTAATCTGGATTTTTCCACATTTTATTTAATAAATCAACAGAAAGTACAGCATATATGTGAAGTGGAAGGAAAACTATAGATTTACAATACTTTTTTCAATAAAAAACAAATCTGAAAAAGGTAGAATGTTCATTCTTTGTAGAATAGTTACAGCACTGCACAGAACAGTTTGGATTGAATTCAGTCTTTTTTTTACTGATTCTGTTCATTCAGATTGGATGAAAAACATCTGCAAACAACGGGCCTACTGCAGCTCTCTGGCTGTGTGTAGGCTTGTCTTCAGTCTTTTCAGAGTTTCCCTTCCAGATCTGTCCTGTTTTTATACTGAGTACGGTACTTTAACCAAAGGCTGCTCTGTTTATCAACTGGGCTGTTTTTCATAGCATGAAATTTTATTCAAGAGTTTCAGAGTAAAGGAGTAAGAGGAAGATCCAAATTCAAACCAAATTATGTTTTTTTTTCTTTCTCCTTCATTACGCTATACTAAAATCTTAATCACATGAAATAATAAAACACCTACATGTTTGTAGTTGTAATTTAGCAATATGAAAATGCTTATGGGGTGTACGTACTTTTGAAAGGCACCATATAAAGCAGCATACATAATTCTATAAATCTTTTTTGCGTATAACTTTGAGTATCTATATTATGGACTTGAAGAAGAGTGAATTCAGCTGATCTCAAGTTGCAGTTATTTTTTTTCAAAATTTTTTTCTAAGTATTGTTTAGCCCAAATTAATTTTTTTTCTAAATAGAAAATGCTGATGGAAGGATTAGACATTGGTCTCATTCTTGATGTATGGTGGGCCTTTGCTTAGCAGTTGTTATGGTAGCAACATGGGTCACCATGTCTGTGGTAGAGGGGATCTAATGGAGCTCCAAGAGTTAAATGAAGAACCCAGGTGTAGTTTCCTATTAGCTGCACTGTTCACTGCAGTTTTTATGGGAATCGTTCAGCTCTTGTTCACCCTTTCTTAATTTCATTGCAAAACATGATACCTTTAATAAAGAACTACTTACTATGTGAAGATTTTCAGTTTGTAATGAAACCTCTCACAATAAAAATGGGGCACAATGTTTAGAAATCAAGAAATTTACCAAAGCTGATTACATCAACACTCCAAACAGTGTCATAAAAGTCTGAAAGTCTACCAATCAATGGTTTGGAAGCTAGAGCTTTAGAAACTGGAACTGACTGGAACTTTATACTTCAGAAAGTAATATATTGTGAAGTTAATATTCTGCAAATGTTCAGCCCACTGCCGTTCTCTCCCGCATCATGTCCTGATGGTAGAGTGAGGGAGAAAAACATGAAACTATTTCAATATGTAGTAAAAAGCTGCATTCTCTTTCAGCTTTACATCCATCTCTATGAATGAATGGAAACAGTCATTTAAGTTTTTCTTTTTTGTTCCATGTGGTTTGAATGTACTATTGCAAATGGTCAAACAACTCAACAATCAGGTGAATGCATCTGATTCCAGCTAGTATCAGCGTCTAAAAGCCCAATTTTGGAAAAAAGGGTCAAAATAGCACAAATTCCAGCTTTAATCCACCATTTTCACCATTACAGGTAGGATTGATGAAAGATTTCAAGATCAAAACGTTTTGGATTTTTTCTATATTTTGACAATCATACTTGAAAAAATAATGTCATTTTTCACTGAAACCAAGGTTGATACAAAATAATTCCTGGGAAAGTTTCTCAAACTGTAGGACACAATAGGTGTAGCCCAATTCAATGTGAGCAATGGAACATGGATTGGGACAAATGTCTGACAAAGTACTCCTATTGGGAGCCTCCCTTAAAAAGATGATCACACACTAAATGATCTAAAATGTTTACTCATTCCCTTGAATATTGAAAAAGTCTGTCAGGCCTTTACATAAGTCAATTAGCTTTTTACTAAGTGTACATGCATTTAAATTCTACATTCAAGCAAGACCTCAGAGAACCTTGAAATATCCTCAGGAAAAGTCTTTATGACTGCTTCATGATCATAAATTCACCAACTCATCAGGCTGGTGAGCTGGGCCAATCCCAACCTGTGAAGCTCCAGCGAAAGTCCTCCTGACACCAGATGTGAGTTGAGTCAGAAGACAAAGATCCGGGACGTAGAAGTCTGCAGAAGCACAGAGGGAGACGCTCAGAGAACACCGACCCAAAGAGACCTACAACTGCATCCTTCAGACTCCTGGACCCAACTCAGATGGTCTCTGAAGGAAATAAAAAAGATAATTTCATTTCATGCTAGCAAAAAATAGTAAAGGAAGTATGCTTTCATTTTTTACATACGAAAACTTTACTGCCAAGAGAATTTGTTTGCCTGCCTTCACACACATAGGTTTGAGGAACAATCCATTTTTAATAGGTTCCTATGATGTCTGCCTTCTCTCTTTGGCTTAATGAATTCTTCAGAAGGGCTTAACACAGGGTTAACTAAAGTACTTATGATAATTATTTACAATTCTTCCAAACACACACCTGCAGAAAGTGATGTTGGGTGAATTTTGGCTCCAAGTCATCCCAAACTTCTATACTATACTAAACTTCCACAAAGTTAGAAGTAAAAAATTGTCCAAAATGTACTCATATGCTACAGGTCTCAGATTGAAGTCCCTCAGCAGAAACCTAGGACTCCAGAAGGGAGGGTAATCTGAAATAAGGTTTGGTGCATAAACACAATAGTCCGGTCCTGGTACTTTGAAAGCAAGGAGTCAGAACTTTATCTGTCTGCATTGCCAGCAGTAAGTCAGACTTGTTTCCCGTCAGAGTTGAACTTTATTTCTAGGCACAGCCATAGTATTAAGATCCTAAGTGTTAAGATCTGTTTTGGGGACCTCTATTTTTTCAGCTAATGTGGTTCTTCATCAGACCATGATCTCCAGGTGTCTCTGGTGCAGTTTGTAGTCAAGTCTGAAGTGGTCTGGATGATAATAAGTGCCTCTAAATATGAGAGCATCGTCTTGAGCCAAGAGAGGGTAGAATGTCCTCCCCAGGTCAGAGAAGAGGTTCTGCTCCAAGTAAAAAATCCAGACTCCTCCTTTGAATTGGCAAACAGTCCAGTGGTGGCAAACTTTACATTGATTCTTCTGTCGCATTGCATTGCACTAGATGATACAGAAGCTTGGTCATGAGAACTAGTTCCATAAAGCTTTGCCTAAAAATGGTCACCTCAGCATACATTGACCTTACTAAGGATTTTCCATGGTCTACCATTCAATTGCTGTAATTCCCAGTAACTTTCTGATATTGGAATATTTTGTAGGATTCTGGGGAATCTTTATGATTGAACTTACTGTACAGTACTTTTTGCCACTGTACCACTTCAGTATTATTTGAGTTCTGGTGCGTTTATACCAAAAGCATTTTGAGCATAAGGCTCGTCTGGTTTACATTCAAAGTTTATGTGGAGCGTTGGATGTGATGGATGCTCTGGAAATGTCAAACACTCTGAACGGTTGATATCGCGCACCAACGGCCCTCAAGTGCCTCCACATAGACTTTGATTGCAAAACAGATGCACCTGACTCTCAAAACATGTTTAGTGTGAATAGGAAACAGGGACAGTTTCCTATTCCTGTCTAATGACAGGAATAGGAAACTGTTTTAAAGTAATTTAAAACTAGCATGGAATCACTGGGTGGGAACCAAAGTCTGGATGGATTCATAGTTGAAGCACTGAAACTGTTTACAGGTAGGAATAGGAAACTGTCATTAGAGTTTCCTATTCCTTCTCAAATGTTTGAAGAAGTCTTCATGGTTTCATGGATATTGTTCAGATGTTGTCACAAGTGATGTATTAGTTTAGATTTTTGAGTGAATATTTTCTATGCTATAATACAGATGTATACACAATATTTAAGAAAATGAAATGCTAAATATATTCAACTTAGCATTAAATAAGTATAATCTATGCTCTCATCCACTGACTGAAAGTTTTAACATGTTTGTGTATTATTTATTTTGATTTATTTTTGAGGCTGCTGTCTGGTGAAACTTTTTATATGCAAGTCAGTGATAAAACCTGAACATTACACACACTCCCATACTCTCCTGTGTGTTTGCTGTAGACCTTCTGCTGTCTGGGTCACAGAGCACATCATGAGTTGCATTCACGATTGCTTTAATTGCACCTGTGTTTGTGTGTACAGTGGGTTTGTGTGTGTTTGTGTGTGAACAGGTGGGCTAGACTCAGCCACGTCATGGAGGTCAGGACCAGCTATACGCATCATAGATATGATGTCTGGATGATGGTGAAGTGTGTGTCCCTCGTCGCAGCGCTACATCCACTGTGTGTGTTTTCGCTGGGATTTATTTTTCTGGTTCTTTGCATAAAGGTGTCTATGTAAGTTTGTCCTCTGTTGTGTGTGGGTGGGTGTTTAGGTGTGTGAGTGTGAGTAGTGTGTCTGTCTAACCCGCAGCTGTTGGGCTGTCATAGCTTCTACCTGGACTCTCATGCCCTGCCCTCAGGGGTGTGTGTGGATGTTCAGGTGCACATTTGTGTGTTTAGAGTATGAGGGCAGGAGGTTTTGCTTAGCCCTGGAGGCACCCATAGGGCGCACTCATCATACACTAAAACACACACACAGACTGTCAGTAACGTCCTTTTGTTCATGTTCTCAGTTTCTGCTTAGATTTTAACTGATTTGAAAAAGGGAACAAGAATAATTATTTTACTATCTACTTATCAAAATTATTCAACTATAGCTAATGCTAATTCAGGTTTTAAAATCTATATTAAGGATCTGGAATATGTGGAACCTATTTTGTAACGCATGTAAGCAACAGTGAATAAATAATCAAAGTAATTTAAAACTAGCTTGGAATCACTGGGTGGGAACCGAAGTTTGGATGGATTCATAGTTGAAGCACTGAAACTGCCTGTTTTGTTGATGAGTCTGTTGGATTCTAAAGCACATGGAAAGCAACAAACTTAAACAGAGATGAACTGAGATGTAAAGCCTGGTTGTATTTCCACAAAAAAAGATTTTGGTTGTAGTTTTAAGCAGCTGTGATTTTTTTAAAAAATCTCATCAACACATAACCAGGATGTTACATGTTAACATACTCTGACTGCTCTCATCTGAGAAGGAGACCTCACTGAGGGTTTGCTTCATCCTGTGTTGCTCCAACGTTGTGACTGAGAACTGGCCAAAATCCCACCTACATCACAGGTAGGGAGTACAGAAAGACACACAGATAGCAGGATGTAAGACAAAAAAGGACAAAGAGCAAAAAGATATAACATTTAAAAAGAGCAACAAAAACACTGGAATGCTTTTAAATCAAACAGATGATGGGCATGACCAGAATTCTATCTATGAGCTCGTTTTTCAGTTATTTTACTCAAACAGCATATTTCACTCAAACAGTATTACAATAATATCCTATCATAATACTAATAACACAGAAATTTGCAAATACCACAAATAAATGATATAAACAAATTGATATACTGAATGCTTCCTGTAATCACATATAATCTACTGAACCATACATGCATCTGATTATAACACTCAGCTTTTCCTCCTCCTGACTGCCTTAACATCCTGTCCATGAATACCACAAAATAGACTGTGGAGGAAAAGCAGCCACTTATACTTTTCTACCACCAACCACTGAAATGTCATTTTGGTTATCCAATGTTAGCACAACACAACCAAAATGTCAAAATGTCTCAAAAAGAAATTAGACTGTTTTGCAGGACATCTCCCATCAGTATTAGGATGAAAGACCAGTACTCCCAGATCTGTCAACTGTTCCTCAAGAATAGCAAGGTCTCCAGGAATATGACATTTGTGTCAGCCATAAATGGTCAATTGATACATTAGAAACCTAATGATTTAAAAATGTTTACATTTATGCACTGTCAGTAGCAAGTAATTGACTTTGAGTCTAATAGTCCTAAAGACTCAAAGTGTTCAGGAGGAGTCCAATAGCAGACTCCTCCTAAAAACTTGGAGAAGTCTGCTATTAAAATAAAGGGCTAAGGAGTGAATACAAACATAACACACAACAAAGACAGCTCAGCAGATAAAAGACAAAGAAAACTCAGAGGGAGCAGAGGGAAAGAAAAATCTGTCTTACTTGAGAAACAAAATAAAGAGAAAGCACTTCATGGCCTTCATTCCCACTGATGGGCTTGACTAAAACTAATACCCAAAGCAGAGAAGTGGAGTCCAGTATCAAGATGCTGTATAATGTCGGGAGATAGTGCAAATACATGGAACACTAACCTGTTTCACCAGAGCAGACTTTGCTTCTTGCTGCAAAGTGCTCCAGCCCTTTTTCCTTTTCTCCTCCTCTGCCCATCGAGTATCTGCCTCTTTGCTCCTCTTCCCCTCCTCCCTATCAGGCCTTCTCATCACTGAGCAGTTAATTTTGGGATTAATACGCGTGGCGGCGGTGGCTGGCTCTTTTGAGGGATTTGTAGCAGAGCTGCAGACACTTATCTTGGTCATTACGGTGCCCATATTGGATTCAAGCGTTTTAGTATCTGCCAAACATTCTGTGGCGAAGGAGTCTATCAGGGCGACACGCACCCAGGGATTAAGATAAGAAGGGCCCTCATTACGACTTCTCTCCTCCTGCGGCATGCTGACACTCACAGCAGTCGCGACTTTTCCTACAACACCATCAGAGGAGAGGTACAGGTCTTCACCAAGCTTTTCTTCCATTGCCTCAGTCGACACAGGTAGAGGAGAAAAAGGGTTGTCACCTGAAGAACTGAAGTTGCTTCTTGAAAGTGAAGAGGTGGAAAATAAGTTGTAACAGGGTTCAGGACGGTAGAAGTTCTGGGTTTCATTTGCAGAACCAGATTCTTGTGTCGAAAACAAGTGGTCCGTCCACCTATTGTCCAGTTTGGAACATTTTCCCTCTTGGGACAAACAAGGTGCATTTTCATTCAGCTCACAACCACCAGCCAATGAGGTCTCCAAACACAGTTTATAGTAGGAGGGCTGAGGTTTCTTTTTGATCACCATGCTGTAGCATAAAGGTGGCCCAAGGTAAACTTCCTCTGTACATGCTTCAAACAGCGTCTCCTCATTCCTGAAGTCAGGACTGGTGGGTACAGACAGAGAGGGAGTAGAAGACTGCTGCTCCACTCGCCCTCCATCTGAGACGCTGGCAGGTTCACCGTCAAAACACTTCAAATCCAGACTGCCGATGTTGTCCTTGGCAGGCAGGCTAGGGGAAGAGCATTCGCTCAACTGAGCTGACTGAAAGGAAGACATTGCCACTTTGGTGCTGGGAAAAAGCTCAGGGCTTGGACTGTTTGGGGTTGGTGTCGATGTGCAATAGGATGGGATGCTGGAGGGCACAGGGGTTAAACTCCTGTCCTCAGCACACTGACTGACCTCACCACAGTCGCTGTCATGGGAGGAGAGAGACAGGTAGGAGTAGAAATCTCCCTTCCGAAGATGCAGAGGCCTATGGGAGTGTTCAAGCACCTGAAGGAAGAAAATGAACAGTTTGTTGCTTCGCACTTGTTTCTAAGTAGAGGGTCTGAAGTAGTAATAAGCAATATTGATAGTCACATACACAAATGTCTTATTTTGATGCTTTAATTAAAGCTAATCTGAAGTGAAATCTGATTTTAAACTAAGAAATACAAAAATTTAATTGAAAAGTTCAGCCAAGAATAGGATATATATACAACTTTAATCATTATCTCTTTGTATTTCATTGTAACCATCATACCATAAAATCTTTATTTACATTTTAATGTTTTACATTATGACAATGTTTTCTGCGTGATTTCTCTTTGACTTTTAAAAAATGTGGACTGAAAACTAATGAACTTTTAAATTGCTTTACTTACTGAAGAAATTAATAATTACACCCTCATAGTTCTGATCTGTGATGCGATTTATTGAATTACTTCAACTGAATAAACAAATGAAGACAGATAACTTTCCTTTGAAATAATTTGTCTTTGAAATGCACAGAATATACCAGGTCAAATAGGACAGCTTCAAACTCATGTTAATTTACGTCAGATGTTTTTATATTAGTCATCCAACAATTGTGTGGTAGACACTGTGTGAATCTGATTATTCTGTAGAATTAAAGTTCTACCTTGTCTCGGATATGTGCTAGTGAGGTGGAGGACTGGTCTGGGACAGACCCACTGGTCTCCCTCTGGGTTGCTCCATCCGACTGATTCTCTTTGCTTTTCAGTGCTACAGAGGCCATGTCAATAATCTCCATTACAAAATTGTGAACATTCTCCTTCTTGCTTTCGTCAATGCTCAGTGGTGAGGCCGGCAGGAGGAAGGGGCTGTGGCAGGAAGCGTGGGATTTGTGGCCTTTTTTGGATGGCAGAGATGAACCTTTTGCTCTGACTTCCCTCCTCGTCTCTTCTGTGACCAACGATGAGAACTTAAACTTCTCTTGAATTGTGATGGCTTTCCGTCCTCCAGCAATTGAGAGGTTGTTGTGCAGTGTATTGTGGGATCTGCAGTTGACTTCAGACAGCAAAGGGGGTGAAGGAAGTGAGGCACTGTGGCAGGGGAGCTCCCCTCTGAGCTCTCCTACCAAACAGAAAGTATGCTTGGAAGAGAAGGGATGGAGCTCACTAGATGGTGATGAACAAATATGACTTGTTGAAAGGGAATTCATTTCAGCTCTCAAGTTGCCAACATCTTCAACTTGGTCTTCTGTTTTGGTGTTCACATAAATGTCCTTTAAAGTGTCTCTTTTCTGAGTGAACAAGCCAGACTCTTCTTGAAGTAGCTCATCGTCCTCATCTTTTCCTTGTTGACAGCTGTGGTCGATGTTTCCATTCTCCACATCATCGACGAATTGGCTGATGTAGCTTCTCGTCACATTCAGTCTGGTCTCATCTTCTCTTTCCTTTCTACTTGTCTTGCCACCAGCTTTGTTATTGCAATCCACTAATCGTGCACGTGAGTATCTGAAGGTGGAAGGTGGAGCACTTTCACACTGCAGCTCATCCAGAAGGCCTGCCTCTGATTTGAATGAGGAGGATACAGAGGTGCGAGGGGGTCGTATCCAGCTCTGTAACTCCCTCTTCATGTACTCAAGCCCCAACTCATAGGAGGTTTCCATGTCATTTTCATCATTATCCTCATCCTCCTCATTCTCAGAAGACACACCATTAACCCTGTCATCATCTCCATCCTGTTCATCTCGAACACCAAATTCCTCTTCAGTGAGCGTCAGTGTGGAGGATGAAAGCAGATCACTGTCATCTTCATCTTCATCTGTGCATGCTGATGTACATGAAACATTGACCACCATGCTTAAACTAGCAGCATCCGACTCATCTACAGCTTTCTCTCGCCTGTTGCTGTTGTGACAATGTTTCATATGAGGGCTAGAACTGGTTGCTGTGTTTGGATCTAGGAAAAGAGGGTGCTGGTTTCTGAGCACGGCAAAATCATCAGATCCCACAGACGAGTCCTCTGTGCTACTCAGTTCAGTTAGTGATACATTTGATAAATTTTCATTGATCAGTGATGGCTGTCCTTTCCATGAAGTGCTAAACATCCTGGAGAGCGGAGTGTGTTGACCACCTAAAGAAGGTGAAACAGGGAAGAGGTTCTTTTGTGGGATGCTGCTTTGAATTGACATATCAGAAACACTTCGGGTCATCTTTCCAACCAAAGGATTCTGAATGTTCTCCAAGCGCTTCAGGAGATCAAGAGTTCTTTGACTAAGTTCTCCAGAAGATGCCTCTGTTTCAGTATCCATGCTTGCTCTTAGATTAATGCTATCTTGGTCTTTCTCATGGCCCAGGTTCATCTCGTCTGGCCTTGTGAGACTGCCCACCGCCTCCCTGTCAGGGCTGTGGCATGGATTAAGGCAGCTTTCCAAAGAGACGCTATGATGCAGCCGTTCTTTGGAGGGGAATAAGTCGATACCCAGAGCCAATAGAGACTCCAAGGAAGAGCTTTGAGACAAAACAGGAGTTGATGTCCTACTGCTGAGAGCAGGGGGAGTCTCTGAACTATTATAATGGTCAGGGTTACACTCTGCGTTGTCCCTCTGGGACATGAACATCTTAGAGTTATCAAGTCCTTTCACATCAATGTCAGAGTCAGAGTTGGCAGGTGTCAGGATCCCATGTCCGTTCATCAGGATTTCCACTGCGCCCCCTGCACCCTGTTTGGACCTCTTCTTCTCCTCCTCCTTTCTTTTTAGTTCACATCTCAGCTCATTCCTTCTCCATTCTTCCAAATTTGTAGATATTTGCATCTTGCTCCTTTTATAAGGGGCAATGCAGTTCTTTTCCAGAGCTAAACTATAATGTTCTTGTGTAACTTCACATTTCCTCCGGTCTTTTTTCTCCTGTCTCTCTATCCCCTGATCCTCTTTCTTTCCTTGTACTCCAGAGTTTGATGATGTCTCTGAATCTCCATTGTCACTTACAATCCCACTTTCACAATCTGATCGTTGACTATTTTCTGACTGACCGCTCCTTCTGCCACCCTCACTTTCCCTATTACAAAATTCACTGATCCTATCTCGTTGTTGGCTACTTGACATCAAACCTCCCAGGAGGTCTGGGAGAGATTCAATGGATGACAAGGAAGAATCCTTACTAATGCTCTTCAGCAAAAAATGTTCTTTGTTTTTTACAGGTTTATTGATGTGTATTAATGTGGAAGGAAGTGGAAACACCGGCTGCTTGCATAATTCAATACTGTGGAGGCTGTACACTTGATATACGTTATTGTTTGGTGGGGAATGGGAGTTAACATCCATTGAGGATCCATCCTTCAAATTAGACAACTCTCTTAACTGAGTGGCTTGGATATCAGTTTGAACCTCAACAGGTTGATTGTCATTGGCCAAAATATCGTTTGACGGCAGACTTGATTGCAAAGGTGTGGGGAGGTTGGTTGTGAGGTCAGGGAGTGGTACATCTAGTCGCTCTGCTTCCATGACCGACATATCTATTTCATCCCATTCCCAGGAGTCCTCTGGTGGCACAGTTACTGAAGCCACTGACACAGGGCTAATCTGGTGGAGATCCACTAGGCCAGTTTCCAGAATGTTTCCATTCACCTACAAGAAAAAGAGAAGAAAAAATATTTGAAAGCTTGCATTTGATTGCCAGGAATAGCTTGAATGTACTTTGAATGATGGGATTAAAGTGACTTTTTTGTTAAAAAAAGTCACTTTAAATGCCTTGACACATAACATGTGTTTTTTACAACACATGTTATGATAAGTGCCTTGAAACAACACGTTATGATTAAACACTCAAGTACTCAAGCCACACAAAATTGTGACTGCCTAAGATATATTCAGCACTAGAGGAGTAATGACTAAAACTCCATATTTCCCATTGTTCTCTGGCTCCAGTAAGACCACGTCTTCACTTCCTCTTCCTCAGTACGTCCCACATCACTCAGAACAGGACACCCCCACTTTGCATTTGTATTTGAGTCAGACTTACCTACATTCAGAAATTCCAGAGGATGGAGCTATTACTGAAAGATGTGTTTCATTTAGTATTAGTTTTGTAAACATAGAACAAGCTAAAAATGCTACGAAGAAAATTAAACAAGGAAGAAACTTTTGGAGAAAGCTAAAGCAGGTGTTCCAGTTAGGACTGTGATTTGTTTTAATTTGTTTGATGAACAAGAGTCTGACAACAAATGAAAAAGAAATAAAAAAGATTGGTCTATAAATCCATGTCCTACATGATGCTGCTTTTCTTCCACTGGTTGGTGAAACTTACTTTGATATAAAAATGTGCTGCAGATTAAAATTTTGTATAAATTGTAAAAATAGAAATTTGACTAAAATTGCTTTTGACTGTGTGGTGCCATAATCATTTGTGAATAAAGAATTGATGAATTATTGTTATTCTTCAGTTTATGATATCCTGCTTTGGAACCAATTTGTTTCAAAAGACATGTTTTTTTTCTGCTTTGAGATCAGTGTCTCTTCTCAAGTCTACGGTTAAAAAGACACCAAACTCTGAAAAAAGCATGTTCTAGGGTCATGTGCAAAAAAAAAAAAAAAAAACGAAACAAAAAAAAGTGAAATCAACCTACTCCACAGAAACTACTTATAAGTCTCAACACAAATTATTCCACTCTGGAACAAAGCAATGAATTATTCAAAAACAACTTCTGAGAGAAAGAAAATCCCAAGGTAAATACGTAATCAAAGCCTTCAGAAAGCTTGGCTGTCTAAAAATATGCTTAGACACAGGAAACCTTCCCTGCCCCAGACATAATTATACAAATTGCTCTACGTCTCGTTAACAAAAGAGGGGGGTAATTCGTATTAGCCATTCATAGCCTATTAATCTAATAAACTAGTTGTCTAAGCATGTGTGTTAGTGTGTGTTTCAGACGGAGTGAGTTTGCGTGGTTATGGCTGTACTTAATGAATTTCTATTAGAATTGTGTTTATTCCCAATGTGCTGATAAGGGAGTCGTGGATAATGAATGAATTGAGTTTTGCGCTGCAGATGCAGTCGAGAAACCTTCATTGTTGAAAAGGCAGCGTTGCTGTTAGCTTAGTCCAATCAATGTTAAAAACCTTCCAGAAAGTTTTGATGGAATTGTTCCCATTTCTAGAAACACCTCTTACATTTGTTTATGGCTGAATTGCAAGTATTTTTCTGACAGTAAAGTCACATCTTCTATCTGCCAGTAACTCAAACCTTGTTTCATAAGTAGAAGATTACTTGATTAGAGGTGAGAGCAGGCCACTGGCAGAACTGGCTAAGGAACAGAGGAGGTCAGTTTGCAATTACAAGTGGTGTGAATTTGCAACACATAATTAAATAGCAGCTGTGTTGCATGTAACAAAAGGAATTTTGATCAATCTAGCTAAGCTTAGCCAATAAAAACAACCTCTTTTGTGCAACAGTGAGTTCTTTCTTTGCCATTAGCACATTTAGCAGTAAGAACATGGGGGTGATTGACAGCCCTAAGGCCCTCCTCCTGACTCTGATTGGTTGTTTTTGTTCAGGAGTGGTGCATTTTTTACATGGCAACAGTAGCTCAGGGAGGAGGTGGAGGAGATTGATCTTTTTACAGATTGTTTGTCTCGTTTTATACTGTCACAATATGCTGATTGTTTTAGCAACTATGTTAAAAAAACATATATTCTTTCTAAAAGTTACATGCGGGGGCTTTTTGCAGAGACCAATTAACTTAATAATCAAGGTTCATGCTTGTGGTAGGAAGCCGGTGAATCTGGAGGGAACCCACACATGTACAGAATCCACACAGGGAACCCACACATGTACAGAATCCATGTACAAAGGCTCCCGGGTGGGGATTCAAACCCACAACTGCAAAACAACCCACTGTGCAGCCCCCAAAAAGCCCAATGTCTTTAAATATGCCGTAAATATTTGTTGGCCTGAATCTGAACTTATAACAGTTTCAGGTGATGGAAATGTTTTGATTTTGAAATTGTCTCTCCTTTAAGAAAAAAAAAATCTAGAAAATAATTTGGGGATAATTTGCAGGCTATTTGTTAATGTGTAAAAAATGAGTACCAGTACCTTTTGTAGGTGTAGCTTATGGATTTGTGCATGGATGAATATGCTTAGGCATGTCCACATACTTATGTGTGAATACACACCAGAATATTTTGTATACTGAGCTAAGTATAGAAAAACCACACTGCTAGTATTTACATGAATACATGTAAATACAAAATGAAATATGGACCATGTTGATTAAGAAACACTGGAGTCACTTTATGTTTTTTTATTTCTTCCTATTCTATTTTTGACTTGACTTTGGGCTACATAATAAATAGCATATAAATATATTTGTTTGCAATTATTAGTCATTTGTTCAATTAAAAAAAAAAGATGTATTTTTTCTGACATATTCTGCAGGTAACATCAGAACATCAGGTTGTTCAAACACAGATTAATGGTGCAGATTGTGTAGTTAAATTGTCATCACACATTTTAATCCCATACAGAATTACAGAACATCAGAGGATCAAATTTTGGAAAAAAGTATAAAAATAATGAATGAATAAGACTGATTAATTACAGTTTTAATCAGGTCATTTGATAGACAAAGATGAGGCAAAGTTGTCTGTTCCAGTACAAAACATAAAAAAACACAGGAATGAAAGAATATGTAATGTGTGTAAATTACCCAACAGTGTCTGTAAAACACAACATAAATTCCCTGCAAAGCACACTGTATTTAGTACAAGAAGATGCATTCAAGGAAAAACCTGGTTCATATTCTTTTTCACTGCCTGTTTAAAATTTTTCTGAGGTAGAGCCCATTAAATTTAGGATCTGATTCTTAGACTTGGTTTTTGAATATAACTGTCTGCAGAGAGTGCTGTTTTGATCAGATGAAAATCAGTGTGAAGTTTATGAAAGTTCTTTCATTTTTTAGATTTCTTTTATGGCATAAAAACAATACTCTTTAAAAGGCTACTGAGTGTAACAGCAGCGTTTGATGGTAGGAAACATAATGAATAGTCGAAGAATCCATGGTTTCGTCTGGGAAATACATTTAGCATATTCTGACATAAAAATACTTTTGTAGATCAGAGGCTTTTATAAGCCAGTTGTAATAGTTGTAACTGTACAGTTTGTTCCCACACAATCATGAACAAACACAAAAACGAGGAGAGGACAATCATTTTATCATTCAGCAAAGAAAGTGCTTATTTATAAGCTGAACCACACATAAAGCTCTTTAGTTCTTACTGTCCAAGTTTTCCTCTGCCTCTTGCCCTCTTTTTATTCCTCTCCAACCTCCAGTAGGAGTGAAATTACTCTCCAGCCAGGCCCCAAGGTCAGAGTGTCTGGCCTTTGTGATTTATCTGTTGCCATAGGTTTTTCTATGTGCATATACAAGGAGAGGAAAGAAACTTCAGTGTCTAATAGCACTGAGGTTTCAAACCCAGCTGGGTTAATCAGAGTAAATTCAAGCTTTTTCAAAATGACTCTTCATATATACCTCCGCTTTGCACAGATTAGCATGTTCATTAACTTGTGTTTCTGTAGGTAGGTCTGGTTTATAAACCAGGTTCACTTTCTCTATGAAGATTGCTCCACAATTAAAAGGATATAGGTTCAGTCATAACACCATATGTCTTTTAAAAGACACGTTAGTGTCAAATCAAACAGTGTGATGCTCACTGAGTGGAACTGTGTCAGCTGGCCACCTGCAGTGTGAAATGATGGCTGTATAGTGGAAATGTGAGGGGAGTCCAACCTGCTGCTCTCCCAGCTCTCTCTTCAATCTGTTCTGCCACTGCAGCGCCTGCATCACTATCGCCTCCCACCTCCTCTCCAGGTTGATTGACAGCAGCTGCAGGGCCTCCCGGTGCTGCTCAGAGTCTGGGCCCACTTCAGCCATCAGGCCCGACTGTGGAAGGATGGACGAAGATTAAAAAAAAAAATGCTTCTCAGCAAAGGAATTTACTGAATTAAAAAGATTACAACTCCTCTATTCACAAAGAGATGAGCTCATGTTTGCGATTTAAAAAACTTTGAAATGATTTTTACAACTAATGTGAATGATAATTTATTAAAACAAGTTTATGTCACTGGAATTGTTTTACATTCTTCTTTTCTTGACAAGTCTCTATTTTGTGACTTTTTTCAAGTGAGAGGTTTTTAATCGTGTTTTTCTTCACTCACCTGGCTCTGCTGCAGCAGCTTCTGACACAGTTTCAGAACTGAAGCGACTCCTCGGCGCCGGCTTCCAATCTCTGAACACAGGGACTGTAGACAGACAGGCAGATGAAGGGAGACAGGATGGATGTCAAGTCTGATAAGTTCTGCAGATTTCAAATATGTCAGAACAAAAACATTTCAAATGAATCATTGTCAAACAAATAAATTGTTGCTGAAAATGCAATTATCTCTATTTGGCTAATTCTGTGCCACTGCAAAGGTTCAAAGCCACAAATGATTTCATAATTGGCAAAACAGACATTAGTACCATCTTTCATGATTTAGGTAAAATTGTAGAAATAAATCTTCTACAGATATTTCAAGGTGCAACACATACTTAGATTATAAATAAATAAACTGGGTAATTCCATACACTGTTACGCAATGAAAATTAATGTTCAATTTTTGTGTTAGCAGCTTGGAGTGCAGTAGAGTTATTTTGCAGAACATCTGTGTATTTTAAACAGATACAAATGAATCACTTGTTAAATCAGTTATGCTGTAGATGGATTTAAGCTCTATTTGAGCAGGGGCAGCAGCAATAAAATAATTTATTTCTACGAATGTCTGCAGTTAACTTTTCAAACATTTGTTATATGATTGGAAATAAATTCAGACATTACGGTGCTAAACAATAAGAAAAAGTTTTTTGTATTTGGCTGTTCTTTGTAGCATATCTAAATTATTACAATGATTCTACTGTTAATTCATTTATCCATTCTTTGCTATATTTCACAAAACCTATCAAAACAGCCCAATTAATATTCTTTGTATAAGGGGTGAAGCAAAATGTTTTCCAGAGTTGCGACATTGGTAAAGTGTCCACTGACATGTCAATTAGCACACACTAATTACACGTTAAATGGCATTATAATTACCACGTGCTAATAACATTCATAAGATTAATTGCTAACTCAATGAGTGGAGTTAATGTCAGTCGTGAGCAGGTAATAAAGTTGTGAATGAATGTCTTTGGCTCCACAAATATCCACTGATTGTCGTTTGATTTTACATCAAACTCAGGACCGAGATGAGAGAAAGGACTGCGGTGGTCTGGTCTCCATGTCTTGCTCATGTGTTGGTATGAAGGTGTTGTTTTTGAGAAGAGGATGTCCGATTTAAGAACTTCGGCATTCTAACTTTTGACCTTTTCATTCCATGACCTCCAGCAAGGGCTGGAGTGGTTTAACAGCTAGGATGAGAATCGGCTTCTTCCTGTCTGAGGCCGTGGTTCTCAAGCTGAAAAAGGGAGATTGATGCCTCTGAGTTAGAGGTTTCTGCCTCCACTGGAGGTGTTGACTTATCTAGAAGTGTTTCTCAAGAGTGATGGCTGGGTGAAGAAGGAGATGGATAGATGTTTGCAGACATCTGCAGTAGTGCAGGTATTGCTCTGGTCTGTCGAACTGACAAAAGAGCTGAAACCAAAGACAAAGCTCTATTTGTTGGGCTGACAAGGTTTCAATCCCCAACTAAAGACAACAGGGCTGGTTCATAAGTAAGAGAATGAAATCCCACATTTAAGTAGTTCAAATTAACTACCTCTGTAATGTAAGGATGAGGAGTTCAACGGATCCAGTGTTTCTCCACAAAGGAGCTCGTCAGAGGTTTTTTGGCCATAACCAGAAAACCTCAGTGGAAATTCAGGGGCAAACCAATGACTTGGTGGAGGAACTTGATATTGCTACTTTGGAACTCCAGAAAGAGCCAAAGAGTTTTTCTGAAGAGATGAATGTCTGGGTCTCCCTCCTGGACTTGTTAGTCCTTCAACCAGGAGTCACAAACATAATATTTTTCACATTTCACCGTTTTTTAAAAACAATGGAAAAATTACTGTAGAAAAAAAGTTAGTGTTCTTCTTCTTGATGTTTCATGGGACCTGGATTGTTCAAAAATATTTAAACCATTTAAAAATGTAATGCAACTGAATAGCCTATGTCAATATCACAAATCAATATAATATGATGAAATATGACAGCCAGCAAAATAGGCAGTGTGATGTCTTCCTTCAACCCACACATCAACCACAATTGATGGCTGGATGGATCTATCATAAAATCCAGTTAATAAAATTCTCATGATATGACTTAAGACCATGGACCTGGATCATTGCCACATCTAGAACTTCTGTTTTGCCCTGAGTGGAACATCCCCTTTCAGTGTCAATATTGAACAACCACAATCCAAGCGGAGGCAAGGCAAGCACATAAATAAATGCTCAAAATATTTGGCCTTGTAGTTTCCCATCTGTTTCTTATGTCCACTGTGCGATTATGAATGGTGCCGTAAACTTAATTATACAAATATGGGTGCGCAGGTGCCCGTCCCTGATTGGTTCCCAGAAGACGCTGGAGAGGCCCAATCGGTGGCCTGCCGGAGGTGATGGATATAAAAGCTGCTGACTTCCTGACATCCATCCTCAGCTCATCTCAACCAGCCACACTGTCTGTTAAACACTCTTTGTAAAAGTTCTTGGAGTTTGTAGAAATTAGCTGGTGTTTATGTTCCCTTAGTTTTATTTTCTTAATTAGGGAAGTAAGTTTTTGTCATTTGGTTTATTTACTTTCAAATAGGTAAGTTTTGGTTAATATTCAGATTGTTTCCTTTTGTTTGTTGTTTCCGGCATTATAGCTCTCTCTGAAGCCATATATTCCACTTGATGTAACATCTTATTCAAAAATAAATCTTATAAAATGTTGAACTTCATCTCTGTTGGCTGCTTGAGATCTGAACAGGGTGGATCCTTCATGTTATTATCTGGGCACCCCAAAACGGGTGATAACAGTGCAAAGACATTATGGTTGAATACCAACTTTTATATTGGTATAAATATTGTTTATTTAAAACAATAAAAGGCTATTTTCTGTTTTAAATAATAAATTGATGATATTTGAGCCTTTTTGGAATTAACCAGCCATGTAGTTCTTAATTAGTATTCACTACAGAAAAACATGATCATACAAGCTTCTATGTTGCAATATAAAACTGCTCTGTCTAAGAATGAGGAAAATTAATTCTTTTATCCATCATTCAGAAAAGTTGAAAGTCTATTAGTGGTACTATAATTTATTATATTTTGCTAATGCAAGTTTAAATTCAACACAAAGATCTGTGATCAGCAATAACATGTAAAAGTGAAAATATTCACCAAAACTCTCCCAGCCTGCCACTCCTTAACAAATGCAAAAAGAAGAAAGAAAGAAGGATTGGCAGAGCCTATTATAAATTACTATATGCTGATGAGTTTTCATTCTTAAAGGTCAGTCTGTGCGTGTTTGCATGTTTGAATGTTTGCTCATACAGGTATGTGCACAAGCATGCGTAGATGCGTGTGTGTGCATGTGTGTGTGTGCAAACATATGCATATATTTCGGTGTGTTCCAGAGAAACGAGGGGACAGCCTTACTCCTGAGCAGCGGGACCAAACACATCCAAGCCCCAAACTATTTATGCTAATCCTGCCCACTCACTGAAAAGCACTTCTTTTACATTTTCCTTACATTTTCCAATAAATATTAAACACTATTACAATGAAATGGGATTCTCTTTTCTGTCCCCATCTTCCGTGCACACACTCTTACTCTGCAGCTTTCTCACACACACACACTCAACACTACTTCTCTCTTTCCTCTCCTCCGCCTCCTCCTCATTTTCTTTAGTTTAGCATATTTGTGGCTCGGCTGCTTGTCTAAACAGGAGATGGGGATGCAGAATACTGCAGACGGGATCAAAAGGACAAGCCCGGTGTGTGTTTGAGGGTGTGTTTATGAGATGGCAAATAAATTTATTCCAAACAGCAGATATGTATTAAGTTGAAGGAGACAGCTTTAAACAACAAAATGACTGAGGGAGACTTGCACTGCATTAGACAAGGCCACACAGAAGAACGACAGACATACATTATATTTAGCTAGATTACAGGTGCAACAATAAGTTGAACTTTTTGATGAGAAATTTGATTGTTTATCCTGAAGCTGAAACAAGATTAGTTGAATACTAAAGTTAATCTCCAAGAAATGAAAATAAATTTTCTACAGTGGTAAAATTCTTAGCTACTCACCAGGTTTTAAAATCAGATCAATACAGCTTTAGATTATCAACAAGACTTGTTACATCGTGTCACTTTTTATTTAGGGCAAACAAAGCATTGTTGTGTTTTTGAAGCACGATGTCCAGTCTACATGTGTAAACTCAAGTTACACATGTAGTTTGTAACTTGAGGCTATCATCTTTATGTCCTGATCACTCATCTGCACTTCTTCATGCATGGATTCATTATATTGAGTCCCACCGGAATTTATTTGTGCACAGTTCTCTATGGTTTCCTGAATCATTTCAATGAAGTAGAAGTTTTCACTTTGACTGGGCCATTGCAACACTATGACTAATTCAGCTTACATTGAAGCCTGACATAAGATTCCTCCAACAATCCAAAAACATTAGGGTAATTGTTCCATCTAATTTGTCCTTCAGTGTGTGTGTGTGCTTGTTTGTATGTACCATGTGATGGACTGGTGACCTATCCAGCGTGTATCTGGCCTGCAGCCCAATGATTGCTGGAAATAGACACCAGCAAGACAATGAGTGACTGCGAGACAACGATGCAATCTGCTGCATTTCACTCGATAGAAATATTGTTCAACCATTTTCAGTAATAGAATCTGTTGCAATGTATGATGAGTAGGATCAATTGTAATGTATGTGCATAACTTTTCTTTTTAGGGTAAGGTTTTTAACAGTGCCTTTAGTGAATTGGCAATTGATAAATTAACTGAATGGAACGGAAATGCTATGGAGTCCCATATTACTACAGAGGACTGTAGGAAATGGCTCTCATAGAAATGAACAGATGGGAATCTAAAAATGACACCAGAGTATCATACTGAGCCACAAGCTAAAAACTAAAACAAGTTTTTCAATTATTTAGACTGGTCAGCACATACCAGGACTCAAAAATGAACTAAAGTTCACAAAACAAAATATAAGCCAAGTATGGAGTGCTGCAAGTGACAAAATTGAATAATATCAACAATCCAAAAATAATTCAAACA